AAGTAGCATAGAAAATAATTTATCACAAAGAGCAGATACAGAGCTGGCTCAAGAGACTAAAATCTCCAGTCATTTAGTGACGCATCTTTACAATGAAGCTGACCTACACAGTCATCATTCTGTCGAGCCTAAGAGCTATGCTCTTCCTTGTGTCAATATATCGAGAAAAGAAACTCCCGCCCAAATTGGAAACTCCATAGAACCTGCTCCTTTAACGTCGGATTTACTTTATTCATTAAATTTCCAGACTGCATGGTACAAGAGATTCCGAATTGGCACCCGAAAAGTCCTTAACAATATGAAAACTGATTATGCTGTGAAGCCGCCTCCAGAAAGTTGGTACTCCACGGTTTGCTTAAAACCTCCATGTATTGTTGGTCGTGGGTCTGAGAGCCCAGCTATTTCCGGAGCACAGACTAATTGTCATATGGCACAATCAATGAGAGATGATTCAACCTTTTTTATTCTTGATCCGCAGAGCTCAAAATACCTAATTTGGATGACGTTTGTATCGATGGCGGTAGTCTACAATCTCTGGACTCCAATTCTACGCCAGGGTTTCAGAGAGATACAGAATGGCCACGACGCCCTTTGGATTGTGTTAGATTTGCTAGCTGACCTGCTTTATTTTTTTGATGTGTTTGTCCAGTTGCGTACTAGTTATTTAGAACGCGGATTAACTGTCTTAAATCGTGCAAAATTATTTAAGCGATATGTTCGCTCTAGGTGTTTTCTCTTTGATATTGTTTCCCTGCTTCCTCTGGATCTGCTCCAGTTCGAAATAGGTATTCAACCAATGATCCGTTTTCCTCGATTTTTAAAGGCATATCGTGCTTGGGAGTGGAAGGTGAAGGTGGAAAACCAATCTGTATTCCCAAATCTCTGGCGTGTAACCAACTTGACCCATATTCTATTTTTGGGTTGCCATTGGTTCGCAGCTTTCTACTATCTGCTTTCTGAACATATGGGCTTTAAAGACACTTGGGGTTATCCTAAACCAGAAGGCCCCACAGCAACGGTAGCCAGGAAGTATCTGCAGTCCTTCTACTGGGCAACACTGACGCTAACAACGATCGGGGATATTGACTCTCCTCAAGGAATTGAACAGTAAGTCCATTAATATGAGAAAATACCCCTTAAATATAATTAAAATTAATTAGATAAATGTCTTTCTAAAGTTAAATTAGATTACATTAACCTTACCAAGAAGTTTCTACTACTGAAAAAACCATATAATAGAATATAAGGTTATTGCAAAGCCAGAATCCCACTCAATTGCTTAGAGGCTTCTATTAACATCCATGAAATATTTAATCAGAAATAATAATGAAATTTTGGCTCCAGAAATATAAGGCTGAAGTATCTCATATATCTACAAATATGTGCTAAACACCTTTAAAAAATAAAAAAAGATAAATTCAGAAATGATTATATATGAAGATTTACTTTATATAGCGCAGTTAATCTAATGAAAATAGGACATAACAAAATCGAATAGGCTACAAAAATAAGTTATTCGATTTTGTCTATTAAAATAGTCTATATACAACTAATTATATATTTTTCAAATATTAGTCTCAGCATTAGAATTAAAATTTTTCAACTATATGCTGCGTTGATTTTGGGATTTTATTTTCGTAATTTGGTCAGGGCGACAGGAAGACCTTGTGAATCGTTCTGAACCCTGCTTCCTGTGCCATATTATTCAGTATAATTTCCAGATTTTGACCAATGACTTAATACATTCCCGAAATGTACTCCGCCCTCGTAGCCAGCATTGTTAGTGAGAAGCACCATCCTTAGCACAGATCTAAGACTTATCATTTACACCTGTAATATCCTTATTATAATATTATTTAATTACTCATTTTTAAGGTTTTAACACCTGACTAACTAAAGCGCATAATTCTCTAAACTATCCAACTTGAAGTCATTTTATATTAAGACGGCATCCAGTAGGAAGTTTTAGATATACATTATATTTTATCGAGATTAAATGAATCAAAACGAGGAATTTATATGCTTATTCTGAGGTAAACGACAATAGGGAAGTACCATTATAAAACTTTATTTTAAGGAAGTATGCATAGCCAACTTTTATTACTCGTAGAAGTAAAACGTTACACTTTCATATTCAAATTATTTTAGATACACCAGTGTTTCGATCTATTTCTAAATATCTAAATTTATCCATCTATTTATAGTTTGTATAAAGTAGTGATAGGTTCAGCGATAATATGACTCATTCAACATTCAACTATATGAGTCATTTAAGCATCTTGCTTTAAGAATAAGTTTAGTGGGCATGTATATCGATTATGATAGCAATTTTGAAAGATCTTTTTGTATGAGGTAATAATTTCAATAAAATATTCATTAACTTATATAATTATACTTGGAGTAAATGATCATACTTGCTTGATGGTGCAGTCATTTTGTCAATACTAAAAGACGATCTTTAAACTAAATATCCTATACATGAAATGTACCATGGGTTGCTTTCGACTGGACTGATATCTGAGTCAATCATATGCTTGTTTGTTTGACCGAATTAAATTTTTATATGAATTCAGAAACGCTAGTATTACCCAGGATAGAACTCTATTCGCCTCTTATTAATTTATAGCCATTTCTGGTTATAACCAGTTACAATTTCCGAATGCTAGATCGAGCTAGCCCAAGTGAGCAATGTAGGAGCTATTTCTCTTTCTATTCTTATTAATTTGGGAACTCAATTAACATGTATTTTGACTTTAGCTGTGCTAACGTCTTGACAAGCTTGTACATTTAGCTGTGCATACTATTGCCTATTAAAGCGTAAAACCAAACTTTTCTAGAAAATTAAAAGAATGTTCCTTTCTTTTCACCTAAAATTACTCTTATTTTTATTTCGCTCTTTTGTCACATTCATCTCAAAACAAATATAGTATTGATAATAATAAGAAGAACTTAATGATATTTTTGGAGAATGAAATATCTTCCTGGCCCATAATCGACAACATTTTTTCCGCAGTTGTCATTTTTCCATAAAACCTATATGATCTAGACATATATCTGTATTTTATGGGGACATTTTGAATACTAGAAGCAGCAAATAGCCTCAAAGTATGCACATAACTATACTTTCATAACTGTCTCAAAGTATCTAATCCCCTAGAAACTGATTTTGTAAATGTTTTTAGCCAAAACAGCGGAGGATAATGGGACTTAAATCTAAGTCATCATGCACCAATTATTAATCAATTAGGATGGCCAGATAAGTTAATTGTTTCTTAGTAGAGGTTATTGCTTTGAGTAAAGGTTAGTTTAATGTGATTTATGAAATAATAGTACAGCAAAATATTATCACATATTTATGCTCAATATATTAATATATCAGAGGCAATAAATTCGCTAAATCCCCTTAACTAAAATATATCACTTTTATTCATGCATGTTCTCCATATTTCATAACCAAACCTTTAAAGATGGCAGAGCCAAGCAATCTGTTTGGCTTCGAATGAAAACTCGTAAAATTACGTAGGAGGCTAAAAGGTGCAATGAGTTAAAATCTTATTAGATTGTTGTAACTTTGTTTATATATAATTTGGCTATAAAAATGCATGTGCTCTGTAGAAAGGAGATATAATATAAATAATGCTACCTGTACTGATCAATAGAATTCAGATATAAGCGTTTATGCCTATGTATACATAGAGGATTTCACATAAAACTCTCAAAATAAAAAGCTATTCGTTTAACTAGTCATACCAGAACTT